CCGAGCCCGACCTGAGCCTCTCGTCCCGCAGACGCGGCGCTCGGCCCTCAGTCAGCGCGGGGGACGACGGAAGCAGAACCGCACACGTGGGGGCGGCGGGGGCGCACGCGAGCACGCACGCGCACTGCTGGCCCGCCCCTGCGGCCCGCACAGCAAGAAGCGGTCGCCCAGCGGACGCCCAGGTCGGCACTGCGCAGACGCGACCGCTCAGTGGCCGCTCAGGCCCGCACTGCGCAGACGCGGACGCCCGAGCCGACGCCTCAGGATCGCTCTGCGCACGCGCGCCGCCTCGCCCGGCGCTTCAACCTCGCACTGCGCAGACGCGCGCCACTGGTTTCTAGTCTCCTGCACTGCGCAGACGCGCGATGCTCGCGTCCTCCCGTTGGCCACTTCCGCCGAGCCCGCCGGGGTCTGCGCACCGGCGACGGGAGGGCCTTTTCGTGTCCGGCTGTGTGCGGGTCGCGACGCGGCCCTGCAAGCATCCCCCATCACGCGTTCTTAGGAAGCCCCGCCCAGGTGGCACGGCCGCGCGCCCGCGCCGGGTGGCCCACGGTGGGCTGCGTCCCGCGGCGCGCTGCGTGACGGGAGCTGCGCGTGCGCGAGTAGAGTCCTGCGCGTCCGCGCGGCCCGCAGTTCTCTCCCCGCCGCCGGTCGGAAGCCCCTCGAGGTCGGCCAGGCCTCGCCTCCACGCCCTGCACCCCACTCCGTGCCACCGTCGGTCAGCCGCGGCCCGACCCGTGCTTCTCAACGTTTCTTAAAGATGCCCGTGTCGTTTCTGCACGCGCGAGCAGAGCGGCGCTGAGCATGCGCTGTAAGAACTAGTTAGTGACGCAGAGTCTCAGCTTTGATTTAGAAAAGTTTTAAAATGTCACTTTCTACCAGCTTCGAAGCGAAAATGGCATTGAACCGGGGCGCCTGCCCGCCCGGCCCCACGCCCTACAAGTGTCAGGGTTCTTAGTTTCTTGGTCTCCCTGTGTTTATGCAAGAACAAGCAAAAACAACGGTGTATTATTTTTCTCATAAAAGAAAGCTGCTCTGAACATTGCCTTCCGCCGCCGCCACCTAACGGAGTCTTACACAGCAAGAAGAACTTGCTCTTCTTTTTTTCCTAGATAGTAAACTGCTGGGGGCATGTTTCATGTTTATTTGGTTTATTTACTGGTGGCCTACTGATGACGCTTAGGCTCTTCCCAGCCCTCCTTTGCGTGACTAGCGCTGCGCTGAGTAACTTAACTCTGGCAGACTAAAGGGCAGTTAAATGTCCAGAAGTGAGAAACGGAGCAACTCCATACAAGTCGGATCACGTCGTCACAATATCTGAGATCAGACAGTAGTTTAAATACATCAGTGTTCGTTCTAACGTGTCCATTTAGATACTGAAAATGTTTAATTTTAAGAAATACCATGTTAGGGCCTCCCTGGCAGTGCAGGGGTTAAATCAGCACAGTGAAGAGATCCCAGCCACTAGCAGGAGGCCAGGGAGTGACCACAGGCCACTGCTCCCCTCAGCAGTGGGTTTCAGTCCATCTGCCTGTTCTGCTCCCCACTCTGCTTCTGGTGAATCCTCTCATCCCCTGCACCACTGTCCTGCACCTCAGCTCTTGCATGCACACATAAATAAACCTTTTAAAAATGGGTTTACCGAGGCTTCCATCTATCTCAGGTGATTCTCATGAGGGTGAGTGTTGGCCAGCCCCGGCAGTGCAGGGCGGCCAGCAGGGCCTTCTGACCTGACATCCTGGTGCCGAAACGCAGCTGGAACCAGGGACCTCACAGTGACGGCAGGCCCACTTGTGCAACACCACACATGCAAGCGTCTTCAGTCTTTTAATCATTTTGCATTTTAAGAACAAAGCATTTGGGAGTCCTGAAGCGACTTCACCTTCGGCTGCTCGTGAAGGAAGCAGGCAAAAGCCACCTCTTTTCAACGCTAAAGGAACGTGGGAAAGTGGAGCCACAGGCCAGGTGAGGAGGCATGTGGGCAGCCTGTGGCTCAAGAACCAAGGAAGGAAGAACAGCCGGGCCCCACAGTAAACTTCTGAGGCGATAACCATGAGGGACAGAATAAAACAGCAAGTCACACGGTTTGGCTGTGTGTGTGTGTTCAAAAAGGACCATGTGGAGCAAGCCGCCCCAGCCAACTGTGCCTGAAACTGAAGCAGGTCACTGTGTAACAGGGGATCCCCAGGGAGAGGGGAGGTGCGGGTTCTTTGCCGCCCCCCCCCAACGAGGGTGGAGCTGAGCAGGGAGAATGTGGAGAGGAGACTGAGAAGGATGGAAGCAGGATGGCGCCAAAGGAGACCTGAGGGGCGCAGGGAGCAGAGGCAGAGACACGTGGAGAAGCAGCTCTAGTTTCTGACCCTGGACTGGGGGACACAGACGTGGGTGAGAGACCCTGGGGGGTGACAATGGCAGCGTTTACCCTGATTCTGATTGTGCTCTCTTCCTCCCAGACTTGCCTGACCATTTCTGACCTCTTCCGTGGTCCCCACCAGAGGGTGGTTTAGACCGTGGCAGCCTTCAGGCCTTGCTCTGGGCCAGTCCCCTTTGGCTGGACTGTTACCACCGAGGGGACGGGTCACTCTGGGTGTCTGACTTAGAAACTACGTTCTTTGTCTTTTCGGTGTTGCACACTCACGGTATTAAAGTTCCTTCCAGTAAAGGTCTTGTATGTTTTGTCTTGATACGGCAGATGCAGGGCCTATATGGAGCTGGCAGGTTTGGGGGCTAAGGGGTGCTCCTCTCCCTGACTTGTGACAAATGTAGTTTCCTCACCTGGCACTAGCTCAGTGATACAACATGAAAAGACTCATGAGAAACAGCACTGACTCAGTTCTTCCTATCCCTGACCCTGCTCTCCACGGGCAGCTGTTTTCAATTCTTTTTAAATCATTTCTTCTGGTAATTATTGCAGTCATTTAAACACCACACTAGTACTATTATTTCTCATTGACTGGTTTTTGATATTATATATTGGTTTCCTGGCAGAGCGCAATACAGTTTTCACTTCACAGAGGCAGAAGTTGAGACCCAGAAGAGTGAAATGACTGAGGCCCTAAGGGTCTGGTGCCAAATTTCACACTAACCTGTACCCTCCACAAAAGTTACTTAACAAGGCACCAGCGCTCATTACACTCTCTTTATAGCTAAGACCCAGAATGAACTATAGTCCATCAGGTAGCCATTTCCCCAAAAGAACATCGCCCTGCGGGCAACGCAGTCACCTATTCAGAGGCAGAGCCATGCCATCCACCACTTTGAAATCAACACTTGACAAGTCTTGATGCACCCTGGGAAGTAAACTGAGAGGCTTTCCTTGTTTTTAGGAAGCTTAAACTTGTTAGCTTCCAGCATTTGCAACACATTTAGTGAAGAGAGGGTGCCCCCCATTGGGGTGTTGATAGTGTCAGTGAAGAGGTTCAGGACGTATCACCTTTCCAGATATGAACTTCAGCACACCGATCACTTTGATTTGAAAGATTTGGAGGGCTCTCCTTGGCAGCGCAAAGGGTTAAGTCTCAGCACTATGAAGTCTGCAGCCCCTGCAGCAAGAGTTTGATCCCTAGCCGGGGAGGTGACCCACAGGACACAGCAGACCCCTCCTGACCCACTCACTGCTCCCCTCAGCAGTGCACTTTCTCACTCTGCCTGTTCTGCTCCCCATTCTGTGTCTGGTGAATCCTCTCACCACTCCTGCACCTCTGGCCTGTACCCCGGTTCTGTATGAATAAATAAATGCATCTTTAACAGAAAGCATTTGGAAAGTCACTCTGATTCCCACTTTTTTCTTCCTGTGAGCAGAAAGTGAAACTCATGTGGAAATGTTCTTATGCCAGGAGGAAAGACCATTCTTATCGCCAGAGAGGTAGTTGAAGCTGGAAGAATTTGTGCAAAGAGACCTTGTCTTCTCTTCCTTCAGCCTGTCCCAACTTATCGACACACCTTTCCACGATTGCCTGTTTGCTCAATTCAGTCCATAAATAAATGCTTACGTTCAGCCACCGCTCTGGGGTGTTTCCTTATTGCTCCGTGTTCAGGTAAAACTTACATTAAGCAAATGTGTACGTTTTCCGCCTGTTAATATTTTTATATCAAATTAATTATCAAGCCTGTCCAGAGGCCTAAGGAGAGACGTTTCTGCAAGGAAATCTCAACTGTCCCTAGAATTAGGCTCCAAGTAAATAGCAAAGAAACTGCAGTCAGGTGATCCGTTTTCCTCACCATGGGCCACTGACCCCTTGCTTACATCTCACTGAATAAATACTCGCCTTCTGTTGACGGTGCCCTTTTATTTCACGGATAGCACTTTCCTGTCTTGTGTTTAATGACAGTAAGGCTCCCCCCACGCCCACCCCGTGAACCCCGCAGCAGCTTCCTGCCTTGACCCGCTCACTCAGTACACACGCAAACGCGACCTGCGATCCTCCTTCATCCCACAAGATGTTCCTTTCCTGGAAACCACTATAGGTTCGTGGCTTCGTGTGTCAGCACTACAATTCAGTGTGATGATCGGCCGATCTTTGCCCCTATTTTATTCTTATTCCCAAATTCATCTCATCAGACGCTGAAGGGCACACTGTATTATTTTCACGGATGCTGGAAATTTACAGGGCAGCTGTTGGCAGCCTCGGGCAGGGGCCCTAGTCCGCGCGCCGCCCCCCACGCCCCCACGGGTTTCTGGGCGCACCTCGAGGTCCGGCAGAAATGGCGAATTTCCCCTCCGGAGCCCCCGAAAGGTTATGCCTGCGACGCAGGAGAGTGGGCGAACCCTGACATTTGCGGCGGCGCGAGCGCCCAGGGGAAATTCTGACACCCAGGCCTGAAGGGCCCCGGAGGGCTCCCCAGCGCACAAGGCTGTGAAAAGCCCCCAGGCGTCGGCCGCCACCAGCACCCACTCCCACGGCCGCGGGGCCGCAGTGACGTCAGAGCCACGTCCTCGGCCGAGCGCGCGGCCGTCAGCGGGGCCGGGATTGGCCGAGGCGGCCC